TGCTGCATTGGGAAGTCATGCTGGAAAATTATAGGACTGTAGCCTCTCTGGGTAAGGGTTTGCTACTTCCCAATCAGTGAGTTTGGGAAAACATTTTGTAGTTAGGTGCCATCAGCTATTTCTTATTAAAAAAATCTCCAACCAGATGTCATCTCCTGAGAGAGAGAAAGAAAAGATGTGGCCTTCTCCTCCTCCAAGGAAGGAAATAGGTCAGTGGCTCTCTGCTTAGATGCATCCTGAGTCATTTCTCATCTGGTGAATTTTTCCATTTCTATTTAAAAGTATCAGTGACAAACTCACTCCTTGGCTTGAGGAGATGCTAATCTCCATCACAGTGATTTCAGGTTTTGGACCTGAATGCTTCCCTATCTGTCCTATGAAGGACTGTCATTTATTCAGGCTCTTGGATTAATGACTTTTCTTCCTTTCCATTTCTATCCTAAGCCTTGGGATTGCGGGCGAAATGGTGCTGTTTTTCTATTGCAAACATTCTTTTTAAGGTTAATAGAACAACTCTTGGTTTTTTGCTCTGCGACCATGTGATTTTGGCAATTAAAAAATGAAAAGCAAACAGAAGGTAGTTTGGATAGGAAGAAAAGGACGAGTTTCAAAATTGATTTAGTTGCCACAGGCCTCTGCTGGAATTGGCCCTCCTCCAATAAATGTTAGGTTTTCTCTTAAGATCTCTTTGGATATTTCCCCTTATTCTTTCTTAACTCAAAGCTGACTCTGGGTGAAACTGAATATGTATGAATAATTCTAAACAAAAAGGATGCTTTAAATGTTTTCAAAGAAATAAGCATTTTATACCTGGCCACTGTAAGCACGCAAACCTGCAATATATTGGAATTTGGCAAAATTTCAGAAGGAATTTCATATGATTTCCTACAGTTTGATCTTCTTTCCTAACCTTGCAATCATTTCCATTTCTCTTTTCCTTTGAAGGTAATAATGGGCAGGAGAATAAAGATTCCAGGGAACCATTCCAAATGATCAGGCTTGGAGACAGAACAGAGAAGCCTGCAACTAAAACGGAACTAGAAAGGCAAGAGAGAAACCAGTCAAATAATTGGAATAAGGAAAGTTCATCTTCCATTGATGCTCAGATGCAAGACTTTGTTGCCCAACAAGGAAAAATACAGAAAAAATCCATTGTGAAAAGTGTAAAGCTATTCAAAGACAAATTACATGTAAATGAACACTATCCAACCCAAACCAAAGGAGAAGATTATATATGCAGAGACAATGGAAAACATTTCAATTGGACTTTGACTCTTTCTCATGAAAATGGGTCCCTTACATGTCAGAAAAGGATGCACACAGGAGAGAAGCCATATAAATGCAGAGAGTGTGGAAAAAGTTTCAGTGAGAGCCGTTCCCTTACATCTCATAACAGAATCCACACAGGAGAAAAGCCATATAAATGCATGGAATGTGGCAATAGTTTCAGAACAAGCAGTCAAGTTACTTCCCATAAAAGGATCCACACAGGGGAGAAACCATATAAATGCATGGAGTGTGGAAAGACATTTGCTCATAGCAGTCAACTTATTTCTCA